TAAGGTAGAGAAAATATAGTATAAATTTGTAGAACATGAAGTAAAATTGAATATATGGAAACCTTAATCTAAAAAAATGGAATTTCAACTAATTAAGATAACAAAATACTAATTTACTAAGAAATTAAAATGTAAAATATGAACAGACAAATTACTCCAAAATAATAATGAATGATTTGAAACACAATCATTTAACAAAAAAAAAATGCATGTTGCATTTCTTTCAACTTGGAAAAAAATTGATATATAGCATCGGTTGACTAACACAACACTCCTATTCTTGGTCAAGAATCAGAAGTGTTCCCATCTTTGCTATTCTTTTCGGGATCAAACAATTTATAAGGTCAATGAAGAAGTTGATTTGGATCTATTATGTACATTTTCTAAAGAAGAGGTTTGCTTCTGAGGACCTAGTCTCTTTACGAACCACTGTGCAGCTTCTGCACAAAGAAATCCGAACATAGTTAAAAAAAACATAAAAGCAATCTTCAATGGAATAGAAATAAGGGGAGAAGAAAATTGCCAATGACATCTGTATGCAGCATTCAGAGCACTATATTCATGTTTCACATGTTAGATAATGCCAACAGAAACAATTTTTTTTTTTTTTTTAAATATGGATAGCGAGAATATATCTAATTTAAATGAGTGTTTGATTAATGATTGATTTAATGAGGGTATAATTCCTATCAAGGACCAATTTTTAACTTGAATGCAAGCAGATAAGAAGACATTTTACCAAGATGCATGGTTACTATGCTTGGCCTAAACCCAGACAACTCAAAGATGGATAGAGCAAGAATGATAACTTATGATCTTCTATTATGTTTAGAGGTTAGGGTGGCACTTGTAATTATTGAAATATTTTAAAGAGTCTTGAGTGGTGAATGTGTGAGCATGGTAATTTATATATATATGTATTTAAATAAATTTATACGGGGTTGGATTTGAACTATTATTTTAAGAAAAAAAAAATACACTTATACACGTGACTTAACATTATTGGACCGAAAACCCAAGTGCTAAGCATAATAACTTATATAATATTATATATTCTTCAAGATTGTATTAATCCTTGCGAACATTTTACTATTTATGGTATACGTTGAAACTGATTATTATATCATGTCGTGTTATACATAAAAGATCCTTTTGCAACTCTCTTAAGATTTATATACCAAGTAAGAAATTTTTTAAGGGATTCTGCGTTCAGTTGTTGAAATAACTACTATAAGTAACAATAATAAATTAAATATGACTTTGCCTCACTCTTGTATATATGTATTTAGAGATAAGAAGGGTAGAGAAAATATATAAAGTAAAAGTAATTAGGTGATTAAACATACCATACGCTTTGGTACAATAATCTAATTTAGAGTCATTATTTTGGTAAACAATTTCAAGACAATCAACCAAAAAAACTCCTTTTGTCGGTGTTATGAACAACCGCACCTTAGTTTGCCTTGCCATTGAAACAACTTTGCAAATCTTCAAAAGCAAACAAGTTATATAAATTATCTTGGTAATTTTAT